CCAAATCCTTCACCTGAGCGGGTAAAACAAAAAATAAGGGTTGCATTAGTCAAAATGTCACATTTTTTTTGCCCAAATGTGGGAATTTTGGGTTTATTTTGGGCTGGTACCTTGTATATTCGGACCAGCCAGTGCTCTGTGGTGTACGCCTCCTCCAACACGTCCAGCTCAAAGTCCTTGTTGCCGATTTCGGCGTTCCTCACCCGGTCGTAGCCCGGCGGTCGCTCTACGAGAAGGTAAATTACAGGCAGAGTTGTCCCAAAGATGTCGGGCGCCCCAAAAATGGTGTCACCCCCCCAGAGCGGGTGGTTTTGGGGACTTACTGGCCTCGGTGTAGACCTGGCCGAAGCGGTAGTAGCACATCTTGTACATGAGGCAGTTGAGAAGAACCGGGGAGCCCTCGCGGTCCACTCGGAATTCCCCCGTGGGGGTGTAGTAGTCGTGCTCCTTGATGTGACGTCCCGTGTCCGTGCTGCCCCCAATCCGCACCATCCACAGGAACTTGTTGATGTCTGAAAGGTGGAGAGTCAAGAGTTGGGGAGGTCAAGAGCGAGGGGTTGGGTTGAGATGGGGTGAAAGATCAAGGAGTTGAGTTGAGGGCCAAGTGGGAGAAGATGAGTTGAGTTGGGAGCCAAGAATGAGTTGAGTTAAGGGCCAAGAATGACTTGAGTTGAGGGCCAAGAGCAAGGAGTTGAGTTGAGTTGGGGGCCAGGAGCAATGAGTTGAGTTGAGTTGGGGGCCAGGAGCAAGGAGTTGAGTTGAGGGCCAAGTGGCAGAAGATGAGTTGAGTTGGGAGCCAAGAATGAGTTGAGTTGGGAGCCAAGAATGAGTTGAGTTGGGAGCCAAGAGCAAGGAGTTGAGTTGAGTGGAGGGCAAAAATTAAGAGGGAGGGATTGGGGGCCAAAGAACAAGGAGTTGAGTTGAGTTAAGGCCAAGAGTGAGAAGATGAGTTGGAGTTGAGCAAAAAAAAATGTAGGTGCAGCTTCCAGAGGAGCATTTTGGTGCCGTTTCCACTTTGCAGCCTCAGCTGGAGGTGGGGCTTTGTCTCCTAGAAGCTCGTGCCACCAGCATCTCATGTGGACTCCACGGTGTGACCCGGCTCTGAGCAAGATCTTACCATCAGATGAGTAACCGGTGAGGCCTCCAAAGATGACCAGCACGTAGCTGACGTCCAGCTCCCTCATGATCTCATAGGCTTTCTCCTCCGTCGATGCCATGGCCTGCAGGAGACACAACATTGCTCACACCACGTGGTGCCCCCAGGAAGGCAGCGGGTGAGGGAAGGACCTACCTGACCGACGCGGGAGATGTGCGTGTTGTTCCAGGTGTTGTTGTCCACCAGGATGGTCCGGTTGGCCATGGCCGTTATCTGGTACCCGTAGTCCCACCAGGACATCACCTTGGCGTCCTGCACCCAAACACCAGAGGTGCCGTCAGCACCTCAGCGACCAGCGTTGGTGGGTGGCCAACGCTGGGTCCCCGCCGCCCGCCCGACCCCCGTTTGACCTCCGGTGTGTTGTGACGCAGCCAATAATACGCTTCTCTGAAGTCATCAAAGATGATCCTGCTGCCGTCCCCACCACGGGCGGACAACACGATGGAGGGGGAGGAGTAGGCCTCGCTGGTCACCCAGGTGGAATGGAAGGTGTAGGTGATGAGGAAGAAAGCCATCACCAAGATCATGCCACTGGCAACCTGAGGGGACAAACTGATGTCAACACTGGAGGGAAGAAGCCACCAACTTCTTGTCCCCACCAGGACCAGGTGTCTTCTCCTCCTTCCTGAGCCAACCCAACACTCACTTCGTTTTTGATGGGGTAGGTGGAGTCTTGTTGCTTTTTGCTCTTCTTGTCCGGTCGGCTGATATCCAGGTTCTTCATGTAGGTGGACAACACCTGAGAAACGCCGATGCCGGAGAGGATGCACATCACCGGGGCCAGCACCAGCATGAGACGCACCTACGGGCAACGGCAGAAGAGTCGGTGGGAGAAGAATTTTGGGTGGAAATCAGAGAGAAGAAATAAATTAAACGTCGTCCCTAATTCAGCAGAAACATCGACCTCGAGAGAAACCCAGAGCTGATTATTTTTTAGTGGGTGAAGATTGGGAACTGCAACCATCTTGGAAACTTCCAAGAGAAGTTCTTGGAGAAGTTCTCTGAGAAGAAGTTCTCAGACAAGTTCTCAAAGAAGTTCTCTGAGAAGTTCTCAGAAAAGTTCTCAGAATTGGCCAAGGTGAAGAACTGACCTCAGTTTAACCCCCTTGGGCAATCTTAGGTGGAGCCAAGAACTAGTAGATGCCTCCACACCAGAAATCAGCCCCTGTTTAGAGCTCGGGGTGCTGCAGCAAGAGCAGAAACAGGCTCGTAAGGAGCCATTTGTCATCGGTCCTCACTTGGACACCTGGAAAATTGGTTTTGCTGGATGTAGGAGAGCAGGAACAGAGACCCAGGGGTGAAGATTGGGAGCTGCAACCATCTCGGAAACTTCCAAGAGAAGTTCTCGGAGAAGAAGTTCTCAGAACATCCATTGGTGGCCGTAAGGAAGCGAGAAACACCAAAACCAGTTAATTTGGCAACAAGAGGAGCGAATAATCCAGTTTTATGGGACAGAAGCCAAGTGAACATCTCAACCAGCTCAAGGTGGAAGAACCACCATCAACGAATTCTAAATCAGCTTTGTTGAGACCGTTTCATCATCTGGTTGGCGCCCGGCGCGCGGCCGCTCTCACCATCACAGCCGAGAAGTACATGCTGGTCACGCCGTACATGATGATAAAAATCCGCGCGTCCGAGAGGTTGCTGAAGCAATAATAGAGACCGACTGCGGGGAGGAACGAGAAACGGGTCAAATTCACCTCAAATGTCCCAAACCCCAAATCAAGAGACCGTTTCATCATCTGGTTGGCGCCCGGCGCGCGGCCGCTCTCACCATCACAGCCGAGAAGTACATGCTGGTCACGCCGTACATGATGATAAAAATCCGCGCTTCCGAGAGGTTGCTGAAGCAATAATAGAGACCGACTGCGGGGAGGAACGAGAAACGGGTCAAATTCACCTCAAATGTCCCAAACCCCAAATCAAAACCGGCCGGCAGCCACGCGTTGACGCTCCGCGGGGGATCCGGTGGGATCAAACCATCCCGGCGGCGGCCGGTGAGTTAATAAATCGAAGAGCAACGACGACTGCGCCCAGCTCACCTGGGAACATGAACACGAGAAGCTGAAGGTCAAAGTAATAAGAGGACCAAGTGGTGGGTTGGTGCTCGGAGACGGAGGCGATGATGGGGATGTTGTTCTTGGCGTAGGAAGGATCCAGGAGGGAGTAGAAACGTCCTGTCCACGGGGAGATTTTCCCTAAAAGGAGAAAAAAAAATCAAAATAAAAATGATATTGAGTAGAGGAACCAGCAA